CATGCCCAAGTGAGCAAGATGACCCCACTTCCAGCCATGTCCCTAGCCCTACATACTGATAAAGGACTCCTGTGCCCCTGCCATGCTGATAAATACAGAAACTCCATCTTTATTGGCTGTATAAACATCTGTCTGTACATACATTTCATACATCATAGTGCAGGGCCTGAAGGGAGGGCCCAAGGTGAGGCCCCAGCAGCACAACAGCTCCCCCTTTCCCCAAAGCCCTACCCGCTCTGTGCAAACCAAGGCCATCAGCTCCTGCTCCCTCTTCCTCCCAGGAGAAGACACTGTATGCGGAGGCGGTCAGGGGTCAAGGGGGTAGGAAACAGGAAGGCTTGGTCAGGGAAGACACATGTTAAGTGCTAGAATCAAACACTGAAGCAAAACAGGCAACTGGCACAGGCAGCAAGCTGGGAGATGGGGTAGGGCAGAAAGGGGAGTGAGGGGCCAAGTTGCCCTCTGGGACACTTGGCGAGGACTCTGGGGTCTTGCCCTCTCCAAGGCAGGAGAGACATGCTCTGGAGTCTCAGCTTGCATCCCAGAGAACAAGAGACAAGCGTGCCATGGGTAGACCGAGAATGGAAAGGCAGAGATAGAAACTAAGACGCCAGTCCCCACGACCCAGCACCTGACAGCTCCTCTCTCAAGCCATTAAACACATAATGGGCACCCACTTACGTGTGTCTAACTAGGGGAGCCAGAGACACAGATTCTCCATGGGACTATGGTGCCTGGACAGGTGGTGAGAGAGAAAGCCAGCTCTCAGGACAAAGAACAGAAACCCTAGAGCAGTCTTCTTGGGACAGTAGTCAGTGGAAGGAGAGAAAGCCCAAGAGAACCCCCTAGCCCAGCCAGGGAGAATGACAGCAGCAACTGGTTCACACAACGAGAAGAGAGAACAAAAAAGAAAATGCAAAGAGAAATACTGTGGCAAACAGGACAGGGGCTGTCTCTATTCCATCCTCTGTAAAGCCTCAGGCCCAAATAGCAGCTGAGACAGGGTGCTCACTCCTCTCCACTCACATGGGCCAGTGGGAAAAGGGGTATGTGGAGCCCACTTACCAAAGCAAGTGGGACCCACCAATATAATACCACCATTCTGTGGGCCTATTCCTGTCCAACCAGGAACTCAGGCCCAGAGACAGATGACAGGGGCGGCACCAGGTCAGAAACATGGGCACAAAAGAGCTTGGCAGGGGCCTGATTTGGTTGAGATGGAGTGACTATATACCCCTGGGGCCTGCCAGGTAAACAAATCTTCAGAGAAGTTAGGAACTGGGTACCTGGTCCTGTAAAGGGGGAGAAGAGGGAGACGGGAAGATATAGGGGAGAAGTCCCTAGCCACTCAAGGGGTGCAGGTCCACTTTGACTTTCTCCCCACAGCTCAGCATTCCAATTGTGGGGAAGAAGCCTCCAGAGGGTACAACAGCATCCTTCTTCCCAATGATCTTGCCATTCCGAGTAAAGAAAACCTGGTGGGTAAAAGTGGGAAGAAGAGTGGAGCAGGCAGCTCTGGCCTCTTCTCTGAGGATGCTGGAGCTGCACAGGCCTGAACCCCACTCACTCTCAACTCTCAGCACTTTTTGTGGAGAGATTTGGGGTAATGCAAGGAGTGACCACAAGAGGGCGTCCTGAGGCTGGAAACCAGTCTTTCAACCAGTCTCCCCAACCCAGCAGCGCTCCTGTTACCTCAGAACAGGAACACGCCTACAGCAGTGCCAGCCCATTTCCCTCTTCTGGCTCCATTTTCTATTTCTACTAACGCCAGCCTTGCCTAGGCCCAAGAACCCTAGTCCAACCCTAACCCCTCCACACTCACCACCACCTTCTTGCCCTCATGCTCCTGCTCTATCTCTTCCCCATCTTCTTCCTCTTCCTCTTCCTCCTCTTCCTCTTCGCCTTCCTGGTGCAGGTACATGACATTCCGGACGTTCCGCACAGCTCGAGCAGTCGGGGACAGTATTACTGTGTCACAACTGTCATCACTGTCACCTAGGAGGCCAGGAAACCTAAGCACCTGTGGTACTGCCCCCTCCCTCTGCCCAACCAGCCTGGTTGGCCACCCTCATCCCACTCACCCTCACTGTCCAGAATGTAGTCCCGGGGGAACATGATTCCACAGCCCATAATGTCCCCTTTGTAACAGCGTGGCCCAAAGGGGTCCCCCACTCCACTGCCATGGAAGATCTTCCCATCATCTGTTGGAGGGGAGAAGACACACAGTGAAGGAGAGGCTGACACTCTACCCTCTCAGAGCGACCCCTGCTTAAAGTTAATGCTACCTTACCTATCCTTTCCTCCCTCCCTGGCCCTGAGGAAGGGAGGAAGGAAGGTGAAACAAAGATGTAGAGATGCACTAGATAAAAAAAAAAAAAAAAGTCTTAATGTCTGTCCACTCTAGGGGCTAAGGGGGAAACTCAGGGAGCTGGTCAGAGAGAGGAAACGGCCTGGGGAGGGGAAGAGAAGTGGGACCAGGAGCTCACAGATTGGCCTTTCTAAAGAAAGCCCCAAAGGAAATCAAGCAGACCAAAAAAAGAAAATGCAGAATCTGCAGGAAGGGCGCAGAGGGAGCCAACTCAGAGGCCTGGAATGTCCAGTTTGGGCCCTGATCCCCCGCCCCTGCTCTGCTCCCCTGGCTTTTAGAGCTGGGAGGAAAAACACAGATGAGGAGAAAGCACTAGCAGCTTGGGAAGGCAAGCAGATGGCAGCAGGGGAGTCTCTCCAGCCAGATACTGGAGACAGGCCACTTGTGAGGGGTCAGGAAAATAAATATCCCTATACCTCTATATCTCCCAAAACCCCAGCTTCCCCAGGACAGCCCCTGCTCACCTGCATGATAGGCTACAGACCCTCTACTCCAGCCAGGGTGCCTGTTCTTGGGATAATCCTGCAACAAGAAAAAAAAAAAATCTATGGTGCCACACACAAAAGAAAACAAGAGAGAGCAGTGTCTGAACCTTCAATCTTCTGGAATAGGCTACAACCAGAAGGCTGCTCACCACCCCTGCAGCCTCACCCATTTCGGACACTTGAGATTGAAGAGAAAGCAAGGAAGATGAGAAAGGTTTTTGGCTTTCCCAGCTGGCTGCCCCCACCGCACATCCAGGTCTCAGTGTGTGTGGTGCAGTCACGATATTCAGGTGCTAGGTCACTTGGGGTCTGTACCCTTACACAGCACACACACAAAACCCTGTTCTGTCTCAAGTTAAGACCCTCCCTCAACAACCTGGCCCCTGATTTCCTCGAGAACTCCCAGCCCCATCCCAACAGCCCCTGAGTTGAGCAGCTCTACAGGCAAAAATAGTGCCCACCTTCCGGGCCAGCCCCAAGGCGATGTAGCATTTCTCTCCCGGGTCCACGATCTCCACCTCGAAGTAGTGGCTACGGGTGCTCAGTGGGTGCCGGGCCTGGGCCAGCCCCACATCAACGATGCTTTTGCCCTTGCCCAAGTACTCCAGCAGCTGTGGGGGAAGTGCAGGGAGATAGGGAACAGGCTGACACCCGCCCTGGAAACCTGGTCCCAAGGCAGTCTGAGGACCAGTTTCCTGGGTCTGA